AAGACAACGTGAGCGACATTGGGACCAAGAATGTCAACGTCGAGACCCTCGACAGACATGCACCGAAACTGACAGGAGACAAGGAGCAATTGGTTTGAGTTGGTGAGAAGGTCGCTGCCATCATCGCGAAAACAGGAAGGGTGTTAGAAAGGTATTTTCGTATGACGGACAGACGACTCGGGATCCGCAGTCACGGTTCGTGACTAAGGATGTGTGACTCAAATCAGATGGTTATCCGATCATCATCAGATGGCCAGGTGTACGAGGAACGAGGACAATGGTCGTCTAGATGATGCAACTACAAAGGTTAGGAAGTTAGGTCGAAGAGACGAATGCAAGGAGCGATGGGACGGAGCAAATGAATGGACGGATGAAGGTCCATAGGTTTAGTAAAGTGGGAAAGCCCTCCAGGGCCAACCATGCACTTCAGGAAGATAGATCGACGAGATCTATCTGCAAATGAAACTGCGAGAAACAGAGGATCGAAAGATCCTGGTATATGTATGCATATCGGAGCTCAGTTGTAGAGCTTACAATCTGAACGAGAGAGAAAGAGAAAACGAAACGAATAACCAGTCTACTAGACAGTAGAGCTGGAAGGATATTGATTAAATTAGAGAAATTGTGCGTTCAAGTTCACACCTTTTCAACATCCTCCCTGAATTTGTGTTACAGTAAGGCTATGGTTTAGTTTAAGGTTAAGCTCATATAGTCTAAAAGGGTTAAGCTGACGTCACAACTTTCGCTTCGCCAGCTCAGTTCTCAGTTCGCAAAGTGCAAACCTCCTCGGCCAATGGCGGCACCGCGGCACCACGTAGCGTGCACAACCTTGTCTTGTGTTGTGGCAAAGTGGCCAACGATGTTGTGGATGAAAGACAACGTGAAGAGCATAATAGACATACCAAACTGGAAGCAAGATACCGCACGTTGAATAGAAAGTAAGATGAAGTTCTCTATTGATATCATTGTTGGTGAGCGTTCCAACTGGGACAAGTTGAAATCGCCATCATCGTCTCGCAGAAGTAACGTCCCCAGAGGACCCAACGGGGTCGAGAAGAAGAACGGAGCCTCCCCACCCAAGGCGTCATGGCATGATAACATGGAGAGTGTTGCTTGGTAAACGGGAAGATTGAGCTTGACCGAATGTTTCAGTTGGAAATCAGGAGAGCAAACCAGCCGGAAGTCCTGAAAAGACTTTTGGAATCAACTAAGCGACTTGCGCGGTCAAGTTCTTGCATCTGTCTCCCATCCAGAATGGGATTGGGCACAGCGCTGATCGCATCCTCATTGAAACTTATGCTTTCCCCCATCTTCTGCAGAGGTTTGAGTTTGATTTCACCAATCCAAACTACCACGCAAGTTCGTAGCATGACCAAGTCTAATAAAGATAGTTTGTTTGGAATATCATGTGGTACTGTAGCAACTAACTGTAGTTGGTTATCATCTAGCTACTAGTAGGTAGTAGCTACTACGCAGATAGAATGTGCGGCAGGTTGCTTATGCTACTCGGTGTGCTCCTCATCAACAGTATCTATCATGCTTCAAAGCCACGGAAGAGACGGTGATCACATACCGGTAGCTGGCCAGTGCTGGCTGATGCTTGTCCTTGTGGCTACATCGTACCATCCAAACCAAAGAGTAGTGAGAGGCTCAGATCAAAGCTACGCATAGCAGGAACGTCACTGTAGTATTCATATTCCAAGTTCATTCTAGCTACGTAGTAGCTGGATTGTGATCTCTCGCTTCCGAAAATTCGGGTTGTGAACTGGCTTCCTTCGACCTTGCTTATCCATCGATTTCGTGACGTTTGCAATTTGGAGGAAGAAAGCCAAGACCGTGGCCATGTCCTTGGCTTCTAGCTAGCCCTGCACTGTACCGCCGGTGCCGGTACCAAGGCATGCAGCATGGAAGGATACCCTTTCTCACACTCACATGCATCCATTCACCGACATGAGGATCATGGCAGTATTGAGGCGACAATGTCGTGCCTTGCTACCCAAGAAGGAATTGAGGCAATGGTCTAAAGAGTTGAAGGTTGAGTCATCGTTGGCTGCTGCCAGTTTTGAATCGAGTATTCCCGCGCCTGCTTTGTCCCATATTTGCTATTAGCTACAAGCTTACAGTAAAGGCTAAATAAGTTCCTGGTCGTCATGATGGATGCAATGAACCTTGGCTGGGGCAGAAATGCTATCTAATTAAAGGTACCTTTCGGCTCTCGCTACGGTGAACCGGTGAATACCAGTAACTGAAAGTGCTCAGATGCAAGTCGGGATACCGGTAGAGTGGCAGGTGGCATCCTTTCTTGCACTTCATTGGTCTCTCCGGGATCCATTGTGGCGGATCAGATCGAGCAACTGGCTTTGGTGGGAGGGGGGCAACAACCAGGTTCTCTTTCCGACCCTCTTACACTGTGATGTAATCAGAGCAACTCTCATGCTATTCTTGGATTACGCGAAGCTCGCTAAGTTTAAAACAAACGAATGATGAATGTCTCTGTTGTTCTACAATGTGCATCATCTATAAAGTTAAGTTAAGAAGAAGAAGAAGAGTGGACAGATCTAAAGGAAGGTTGGAGAACGGCAAAGTGGAGGAATCTAAATGAATGCATGGAAAGTAGCCAGGCTTGGGGACGCTGTTGGCGGCAAGAGCCAAGTCATGTCCTTGCGAAGAAACGCTTCCAAGGATGGCGCTGTCGTTTCATTCAAATTTAACGTCGTAGCTGCCTTTTGGTTTGGTAGAAATCCACCATGACCATGGCTTCCATGAACATTTGTGGCCCCACAAGCGCTTGCAATCGGAGCTCCAGGTTCTGTTGAAGAGGCACCGCATTCTTTTCCCCTGCCCGGTTCTGTCTCACGCACTCCTTAACCGTGTTTTTGATCATTTTGGCGAGCAAAACATCTTCCAGGTTTCCCGTGGACTGGAGGGCTCTGATGAGAAGTCTCACGCTGAGAAGGAGACGTCGTTGCCTTCTGCTGCCGACAGATTGTCGCCTCAAAGGCACACGGCTGGGGTGTGTGGTCATGGTGGACTTTGTCATGTTGTACGTTGTATTGACTTTTTTTGTAGTCTGTTGTTGGTAATTGCTTTTGAAACTTTCGTTGGGTTGATTTGTGAAGGCTTTCCTCATCGAGGCAAATGAAATGAGGTACTTTTGGAGAATTCGATTTGGAGCCAAAATGTGAGCCCCACGAGAGGCGAAGAATTCGTGTTGAAGGTGATTCTCGTTTGGTGAGGATGTAGCTTGGCTGTTAAGCCACCAGCATTCCGCTTCCTCTCGAACTTGTTTGGCTTCAATTGTTGCTTTAGTTCTAAATTCTGAAGGATATTATTATAAATAGTCTGTTGTTTTAATATTCATCAAATATGTAAGTGAGTCCACAGCTTCCGAGAATAACAAATGATGTGAAACCTGTGTGCAAGCACAATCAAGAATGCACGAACCGAACTTGAACTCCAGAGACGAACTTTAGTTAGTTAATTAACCAGTGGGACAAAATGCTTCGCCTTTGTGACTTCGTTTCACTTTTCCGAAGAGCTGAGCTGACGAGCAGTGGAGAGTTTCACTTTTCCGAAGAGCTGATGAGCTGATGAGGCAGTGGCGAGAGCGGAGTGCCTCTACCGGTACTAGCTAGAGAGTGCCGAGTGCCTACCGGTACCGGTAGCGGATGCTGGCCAAGGTAAGGCTAAGGCTTGGACTCTCTCACTCCTTTCATTGGCTAGTCCCGCATCAAGGGGATCCCATTGCACTGTTTCTCGTTCCCCCCAGCCACATCAAAGTGGGACAATTGTCCGAGACGAGCTTCGGCTTATCCGTCTTGTCTTCCCGTTGGGTTTCGCAAACAACTAGCTAGCTGCTGCCAAGAGCAGAGAAGCGAAGAGCAGCCTTCTCTTCCCACGGTTGCTACAAAACAATCACAAGCACCAAAAGCAAACAGACTCGTGTGATGAAGAAACCACTCACTAAGGCAGCACTTGTAGCCCAAGCTACCGTAGCTGGTCGGCTAGTACTGGTACCCTGGGATGTTGTTGCATGGTCCGGTACTGTTTTGAATAAATCGAATCAAGGAAACAATCCAGTACGATCCACCCCGTTGCGAACTACTTTGCTTCCCGTCCCAGGGTGTATGAAAGACGAACAGAAGCCAGGAAACTCCTTCTGAAGCACACACTGGGACTGAACCATTTCAGATTGTCATTGCAAGGTACGAGGCGCTCCAGATCCCAGACCGTGCATGTTGATGCATTTGCCCAATGCTGCATCAGATAGCAAAGTGCTAGATGTACGAGTGTGCATGTTGGTGTATTTGGCCACACTAAGCAAGAGTGCTGCATCATATAGCAAAGTGTCATTGTGTTGTATTTGCTTATAATATTTATTATGAAGACTCCATTGTCATACTATGCAGGTACAGTAGCTTTATTCTTTGTACACGAGGCAGACCAATATAGCTGCCCCCAAAGGCAGGTCTAGTGTGCCCCAGCCAGCTAGATTGCCACTCTCTTCTCGAAGTCTTGAGGAAACAGTGAGTGCTTCAGGGGATGTAATGACGATGCTTGTGTTTTGACGTCCTGATCGCTGCGATTGTGACGGTGTGACATGTACATTTCAAGGCACAAAATTGTCTGCGTCCAGATAGCGGCGTCAACCAAAACTTGAAGACGGGCTTCAATGGTGTCGTGGAGAGGCATTACACATTCGTCTCCCATACGAAATCGACATGTGCACTCACGGATGACACGCTGCACCTGCTGTAGTAAAACAAAGCGCTTCGTTCGGTCAAGGTACTTGGTTAGGATTCTGACTAGAACTATGAGGCGTTTTCTCTTTTCACGGTCTCTTCTTTGGAGGAAGGTCTTCATTTGGGCAGGATTTGCCATGTCAATTGGAGGATTCAGAACGTTTGAGGCGGGATATTGATGTGGAAAAGATGTGTGGGATGTGCATTTTGTAAGCTAAATTGTGAGCGCAGGATAGTCTAGTGCGACTAAACCTTTTTCCTGATTGCGAAGACCCATTTTGAACAGAGTTCTCGATTGCAGGTTCGCTTTGCAGGCGACAATCTCCAGAGGGCATCAACCCAATATCCAAAGTTATCCTCGTGACAGTCATCTTGATACTTGATAGAGGGTCCAAAAGATCTTGCATTCGTCAGACAACCAACCAGAGTGAAAGGTCTCTCGTAACACGAAGTTCAGAAGCTTGATAGGAGAGCTCCTTTCCACTGTTCAGCTAAATCATCCTACGGAGGAACCACGGTGGTAACTATCGTGTCAGGTGGTGGTTCGTTTTGCAGACGGTGACCCTATTACTTGGGCACCTTTCCGAGAGCAGATCTCGGCATCTCTGGTCTTCCAGCTAGCTCGGATATCGGATATCCTTGTCATGGTCCCCGCCCAGCACCAGCAGTCAAGGAAGTACGGTAAGAGTCGAGGTTCTAAGTGAGGTCGAATGATGATCGAATCTTCCGACTTTGCATGCAAACCGAAGCTGTACAACCAAAGGTGATTCAATGAAGGTGGCTAAGCATACATTACGTGTACATGTACAGATGTTTGGTTTGATTTTCCTAAGGGGTGTTGCCACCCGACCTGATACCCAAGATGGAAAATGGGTTCAGGGTGCATTTCTCAGTTGACTTTTCGCAACAGGTTGAACAGCATCCCTCTGGACAGTGCAAAGGGTTGTACGCTGATGATACGGGGTCTTCATCTTCTTGGGAGCAATCGGCCACGACTTTGGCAGAGTAAGCCAAGGGCAAGTCTTGAATTCCCAGATCACAGAATTCCACCGGGATGTCTCCTTCAAAGTCGTTGCCATTGATTCGGAAATCAGAAATCTTGTTCAGATTGCCCAGCTGGGTGGGAAGATTTCCCTCGAAGTGATTGTTTTGCAAGTTTAACTCCGCCAGATGGATCAACTGTCCAATCTCTGTAGCCATGGTTCCTTGTAGGTTGTTACCTTGCAAGTCGATGCCAACGAGCTGGGCCAAATCGTAGAGTTCAATCGGAAGCGTCCCTTCGAATTGACAGTGTGCTAATCGCAAGTACTCCATGGCAGGGCTGGCCGTCCCAATCTCGGAGGGGATGCGGCCAGTCATTTCGGCGTTGCGAGACAAGTCCAGAATTTGCAAAGAAGGCGAAGCAGAGAGTATGGAGCTGGGGATGGAGCCACTGAGGCGATTCTGGTTCAGTCGTAGCACGTTCAGGCGAGGCCATTGTACTGGAGGCAACGTTCCCGTCAAAGAGTTCTCCTCCAGCGAGAGTACCCTCAAGTCGGAGAGTTGACCAAGCTCTTCGAAAATACTTCCGGAGAGTTTGTTTCCTGCCATTCGCAGTACTTGCAGAGGGCTATTGGATAGCCAACTATCTTGGCTGCCCTGGTCCATGAGGGACAAGGAGTCGTGTTGATTGTGGTGTAATTCGAGGACTTGCACCTGTCCAACAAGACGGGCCGGGACCTCTCCCACGAGGTTATCATTGTAAGGCAAGGAAAGAGTTTCCAGTGACTCTAGGAATCCCAGCTCCTCGATCAGTCTTCCATTCAAGCCATAGTCGGCTGTAAGGTGAGCATGAATGGTTGGAAGGGAGTCGAGTCACTTGGTTGAGTATCGTTTGAGGCAAAAAAGAGCAAACGCACGAACACAGCATCAAACCTACCTAGCACGATCGATGTCACGCGGTCATCCTCGTTGCATTCGACTCCAGCCCAGTCGCATTCATGCGTTGCACTGAGCCATCTCCAAGATCGCTGTCCTCGAAACTTTTTGGGACTCTCTTGAATTAGCTCTTGATGGGTACACGGCTGCGCTGGGGTATTGTCGTTGAGGGTGGCATTCATATCAGACTGGGAAGACTGTGCAACCGTCATGGATGGAGCCCCGCAGTGTTTCCAAAAGCTTCGACGCACGGGTCGTTGTCGAACATCAGAGGAGTCGTGGCCCTGTAAATCTCGACGTGCACGAATGGCTGTGGACGTTGCAAAGTAAAAGGCTGACATCAGAAAGCGTTGCTGGACAGCAGCCTCATCGTCATCTTCCAATGTCAATTGGAGGGGATCTTCGTACAGAATCCAGTAGAGTGCCTGATAGTAAGGAGAGCTCCAGTTGGGTTGTAATTTGTTCGTTCCGTCCACTACCTTAGCCACAGCTGGTTGCAATCCCAAATCACTGCGATACGCCAGTTCTGATGTTGGGGGTGCAAAGCTCTCGCTGTCCGTAGCGGGGGTGCCGACTACTGCCACCAGTTCTGGGTCCTTTTTGTCGCGTCGCTGTGTCAAGATAATCATTCCCATTCCAACAAGTACCAATGAGCTAATGATAATGGCACGTATCCACGTGGCTCGTACCGTCGGAGCCTTGGCACAGACAAATACCTCGGATGCCAAGGAAGAGGAACGATTTCCGGTTTGTTCAGATGCCACAACCACGGGAGCATTGATTGGTACAACGGGAATCTCAGTGGATTGTGACGGTTGCGATTCACCTGATGTTTGCCTCTGAGGAGGAGGTAGCTGCTGATTGAATCCTTGCTCTACATCCGCGGGAGTTTCTTGGTTATCTGACCCATTATCAGCGGTCATGGGCTTGGATTCCTCTTGTTCCGACGGACCGATTTCTGATTGATGTTCCTCGTCATCGCTCAGCGCCACGCTCAGTTCGTCGACATTGATCAAGGCTCTATCGTTGTTGTCCCATTCAAACGTGGAGCGTCGTTCGATGATGGGGGGATCTCCAGGGTTTACCCCAGGGACTACATCCATAGCTCCAGGCATGATCAGTTCTCCACTTTCATCTTCGACTGCAGGTTTGCTGAAGCGGGGCATGGTGGTATATTCGAATGTTTCGATCTAATAATCTGATGTTTCTTGTGAGATGGTACACCGAGTGCTCTACCAGTACACTTGTTCTTGGGTCGCAGAATCGAATCGAATCGCTTGAAAATGGAGGAACTTGGAACTCTCTGTACGGAAGGAACGTTCTATTGGTCGTTCTATTGGTCGGTATCCAGGCAAGTCTCCCTCCGATCGACCCCGCAAGTTACTTAACTGGTCAATTCAATGAGACGACGGTACCGGTATCGTATCTCCACAGCTGGGTTACTAGCTAGTACGAGAATAATGAGAGTCATCCGAGAATCTTTTCTCACTTACGAATTCGTTGTTTCGATGTTTGCTGGTCCCTTGCTGGTCGCAGCTGGTGGACCATGGCACGATTGAATTATTGCGCTTTTAAGAACTTGGGCGAACCCGCATCAAACCGTGTGGCATCCGACCTGGACTTGTCACTTAGGCTGACAGTTTAGAGCAGTAGATGTGGTAATGTTGGAATCCTAAACGTATTAAAAAATCAAAATCTACCTGAAAGAAGAGCTTTCTGCCAGCGTACAAATTTGTGGGAAAGGTTCCCAGGAAGAGCTAACTACTGTTCAACTGATCATTCTAAGTACGCTAGCCCAGGGTCGCCAAATTGGAGAAAGAATGAGCAATGGCTTCCAACTCCACGTTTTCGCTTCTAACTAAAATGGCCATTCATTCCAATGGCATTCCAACAAGCACGGTACCTGCTGCAAAAACGACCGTTCTTTATCTTCGAAAAGAAGGACAGCAGAAGACCAAGAAAGACATGATGGCTACACTACTTTCGAGGTCTCATTCTTGACCCAACCCTTGGAACTGGTTTCCCAGGAAGGCAAGATGATAACTACTAGCTAGTAGTAGCAGTGGATTGATTGGGACAATGGTATTCAGTGAGAGACTTGAGGATGCTAACACCTTCTTCTTCTTCTTCTTCTTCTACTAGTCAAGCTCATCTTGTGGGTTGGAATGGACTTGTCTTGGCGTGACAAACTGTTCACACCACCATGAGCTCCGAAGGCAGGTGGATATCCGATTTGGCTTCTGGGCGGTGTGTTGTGGACTTTAAAGTTTCTTGATTGGGGTGGTGTGGCCTTCAGATCCATGGAGTGAAGTTTCAAATCCTGGCGCTGGCTTTTTCTGTTTTGAGGCGTCACCTCTCCAGACGAAAACGCCTGAGCGACGTTGACTTTTGGGCTTCTGGCCGCTGGCTTCTGGCCTTGCCTTTTGGGCGCCTGGTTTTGGCATTTTTTAAACGGTTACATCACTCTCTCAGCCAAGACAACTCAAAACAGCAAACGACAAACACACAAAACAACACAAACAAGAAACACAACAGCACAGAGGAAATCCCTCATCCTTCACCATGGCGGACCCTGGAGAGCGTGGTCGACATCGGAATCGTCCTCCTCGTCACGATAGAGGGCAGGCTCATCGTGATCACCCACAGCGTCCTCCTCAACCACGACATTATCATCATGATCGTCGTTTTGCTCCTCACCAGTCCCATGGTCCATATTTACATGAGTTTCAGCAGCCTCCTCGACACCATGATCAGCATCCTCATTCTTTGGGTTCATATCACGGTCAGAATTATTCATCGCATCATCGGTCCGATCGACCGCCCGTAGCACAGTTTGAAAGGCGTCGTTTTGACACAGCATCTGCAGCAGGTGGCCATCATGCCAGTTACTACAATCACAACCGTTCAAGCCAGCAACGGTCTCACAAACACTCTCACAAACCGTGGTCAAGCCAGGCACACCAGAACCAAAACAAGAACAAGAGACACAGACACAGCGATGATGATGGAAGAGACAAGAAGAAGTCTCAGCATTCTCAGCGTTCGACAAGCGTTCGAAATTCTCAGAACAACCAAGCGCGACAAGAGCGACAAGAGCGACAAGAGCCTCACCAACGGTCCACTGTTGCTGACACCCGCAAAGCCCCACCTGAATCACTGAGCCGCAAACCACAGCTGCCATCAAACAGTCAAAGCCGGCAGCAGCCTCATCGCAAGCTACAGTCAAACCAACAGTCAGGAAATCAGCAAGGTCCAGAAACAAACCGTCAAAACCTGAAACGGTCGCAACAGGAGCAGAATGAGCACTCCATCAACAGCAGCAGCAAGGTCAACAGCCAGATCCCTGCCCACTCAAGTACCCAAGATGAAATCGGAAGCCAGCAGACACGACAGCAACAGCCTCGCCAACGGTCCACTGTAGACAACGCTCGCAAGGCAGCAGCACCTGAATCACTTCGCCGCAAACCACAGCTGCCATTAGCCTCATTCCGCGACAGTCAACGCCAGCAGCAGCAGTATCGGAGCAACCAGCAGCAGCAGTATCGGAGCAACCAGCAGCAGCAGCATCATCACAGGAACCAACAGCATCATCAGCAGCATCGCAGGAACCACCACAGCACTAGTCAGTCAGTTGCCTCAATGTCCAACAACAAATCTGCAAAGTCCAGCAACAAGTCCGCTGTGGAGCATGCTTCCGCTGCCAAGGCGCCGCCTAGAAAGTCAAATAGCACGAGTCGGTCAGCCGATCAAGTCAAACAGGTACGGTACACCAGTGATTTCGCATGCAAAAGCGTGTCACTTGCGTTCTTTACTCTTTTGAGTCAGCATTCGTGTTGGAAGCTTCCAGGTTCATTCGAGAGTGTGTTCCTGATTGTCTTCGCTGAACAAAAGTGGCATGCAGCATGCAGCCTTTGCTTTGACTTTTGCTTTCAAGTCTAACCTTCTGTCATCTATTCTGCTTTTCTTAGACAAACAATACCCATCGATCCGTCCTTTCTGAAGCAGACTTGTCAACAATGTCATTGCAAGAGCTTGAAGAGAAGAAGAAAGCATTGTGCCCCATCTGGAAAAATCATTGTGCAGACAGCATAGAGTACAAAGAGGCTGCACGAGCCCACAAACAGATCAAGGATGTAATCTCACAACGACAACACATGGAACCACCATCAACTGTCCAGGCAGAAACAGAAGTTGGAACGCAAGCTGACGGAGCTGCCTCATCCAAGCAATCTCAAACTAGTCGCCCAGCCGTTGCTTCGATGTCAAGTCACGAGAACAAGTCCAAAGGACCAAAGTCGCAGCAGCAAGCTCCACGTTCGAATCACTCGAGCAGCACTAGTCAGTCGCCCGTTGCCTCGATGTCCAATAACAAATCCACAACAAACAATAAACAGCGACGCCTAAAACGTGACCCTTCGACAATGACCCTGGACCAGCAAGATGACGAAGCCATAGTGGAGGCACCACCCGCTGTTGCTGACGAAGTTCACGTGGAGGATTCGTCTGAACCATCCAGTGAACCAGCAGCGGAGGAAGGCATCTCGAGCACCAATTCAGTTCCCGACGAGACAGGCACCAACAAGGTGGAGCCCACTCAGGAGAAGTCCACACAGTCAACTCTGTTACCAGACTGTGGCGGTGATATTGTCGGAATGGAAAGTAGTCTACTTTCCACTAGTCCAAGATTGCCAAGTCCAGAAAGTAACAGCGACATGGGTGCCGTCGACATGGGTGCCGTCAACATGGGTGCCGTCGACATGGGTGCCGTCGACATGGGTGCCGTCGACATGGGTGCCGTCGACATGGGTGCCGTCGACATGGGTGCCGTCGACATGGGTGCCGTCGACAAAATTGCAGCTCCAGCCGGACCTTTCAGTCACGGCACCCAGCCAGTTTTCGGCCCTCCAACACCTGCACGTACGTCTACACCACCACCTCCTCCACTCGCAAGTGGCACACATGGAGCAACAGGTGGTGAAGTAGTGGCAGTATTGACACCGATGATAGCGGGAGCTATTGGAGTGGTAACGGGGCTGTCGAGTGCCCTTAAACGCAGTGCCCTTAAACGCAGGCGTAAGGGCACCGCTTCCGAGTCAAGTGAAGACGAAACGGAAGACGCATGCTCACCACCCAAGAAACAGCGTCTCTTTCACAGTGGCACCACATCACATAGACCACCCGCATGTCACGCAGATGAAACAGAAGAGTCTCCACAGATGGCACAAATGGTGAGTTCTTTGATTGTTTTGGCTGGGAGTGGTCATGTGTTCAGTGAAGATGGGAAACCTGCAACCATATGAAAGCTGGGGGGTCTTTCAAGAGAGCCCCAGTAGACGTTTGGCCAGGCAGCAATTCAGTGCTTCCTTCATTGTTTTTCAGTCCAGTCTACTAAATACTTTGCCCTTTCTTCTTCCACAGGAGCCTAAAATGGTAGGTCCAAGCACAAACACGAGAGATTGAATCGTAGTCATGTTTAACAAATTCATTTTCTCTCCCTCTCTCTTTCTTGGTCGGTATTTTAGGGGGGTGAAGAAAGCCGATTGTCTCACAAATCAACTTCAGGGCGACGGTTTGTCAAACCAGCAGCAGCATCGAAGACCACCACCAGAGAAGACGACGCATCAAGCTCCGAGCCAAGCTCCGAGCCAAGCTCCAAGTTCTGGGGTCTCAAGGCTAAACGTCCTGGACCCAGCAGCAAGACTGTGCGTGATACCACTCAAGCGTCAAGCTCCAAGTCTGACGGTGACGGCGGTGATGCCAAGAAGAACAAAACCGTGGCTTTCGTTCTACCACCGGATTCAGAAGCCTGCTCGAAAACATCAACTCGTCTGTCAACTGACTCTGCACACTCTGCACACTCTGCACACTCAGTCTGCCTAAAGGATAAAATTCTTGGGCAGTCGCATCCTGATGACAGCTATGCCTCTAATGTTTGCTCTTTCTCCTTTTTGGACGAGTGCCAAAGTCCCAAGTCCAAGACTACTCGAGTCAACAGCACACCAGGCAATGCTGCAGCACCGAAGACTACTGGAGAATTCGCAGCACCCAAGACTACTGGAGAAGACACAAGTGACGCGACTCCTGCTGTCGGACGAGCAGCAGCAGCATCAGAAAATGGCGACTCAGATTCTTTGCATGTCTCTGCAACATCAACAGAGCCATCTCAAGCCAAGGATGCAAGTTCTTTGAATTACAGTTCTGACACTTCAGAGAACGAGCCGTCGAAGAACGAGTGGTCTGAAAGCCACGAGCAGTCTGAAAGCCACGAGCAGTCTGGAAGTCTGGTTGACACAGAGAAGCGGAATGAAAGTTCAAATTTGGACTTTGGCTCTTTCAATTCAAACGATGATCCACTTGTTGGTGGTGGTATTCCACTTGAGCCGGATTCCCCCAAAGTCAGGCTGGATGAATCTATTGATTTCGAGAAGACACCCACCCGTGCCTTGGTTGAAGGATCCAATCCACGAATCTCTAATGTTTCTGGAATCACTCATGTTTCTGATATCACTCATGATGATGAAGATGACGCAACTCCTGTTCTGACAGCTGCCGAGTCTTCCGGATCCACCAACAGCGACGAGCTTGTCACTCCTCTGGGTGATGTTCCTGCTAGAGACGACACCGGCGCTGAAGCTACCTCGGAAGACACCAGTCAAGCCGAAGCTACCACGGAAGGCACCAGTCGAGCCGATTCGAGCGCAAGCGCCTTAGACAGCAGCGATGTTCCTGCTAGAGACGACACCAGCGCTGAAGCTACCTCAGAAGACACCAGTCAAGCCGAAGCTACCTCGGAAGACACCAGTCAAGCCGAAGCTACCACGGAAGACACCAGTCAAGCCGATTCGAGCGCACATGCCTGGGCCAGTGAAGATGAGCCACCATTGTTGACAGAATCCGACCAGGAACGACTAGCAAAGGAACGCCAGCAAAACCACAACAAGAATTCCAGCCACGACAAGGATTCCGTGGAGACTGCTGTCACTGCCGCAAGTGCCCCCGCCGTCAGTGAAAAGGAAAAAGAAGCCAAGAGTGGTGATGAATCCAAGTCGAAGAGTACCAATGCCTCGGCCGAAACATCAACTGCCCAGCGCAGATACCTTGGACCAAATCTGACAGCCCAACGTAAAAGTAAAGACGTCCCAGTGTTAGGACAACCTGGACCACACGTGTCTTTGTTGGATCTCAAGAAAGCCGAGGTTGATCCACCCGTCTTCAACAACAACGCAGCCAAGAATATCGACGGGGCCACCTCTGGAGTTGCTGGTATTTTGGCAGGTTCAGCATTTGCCGCTGCATCCGACTTTCCTCCAGAACAGAGAGTCAGGCAGTCACAAAAGCGAAAACCTCTTGCAGTCACTGGCCAAGTGCAAAATCTTGACGACAAAACTTCGAATGTGTCCCTTGCAGCAGAGTCTTCCAGCCCTGGTTACAACCTCAACCACAAATCAAAGACACGCAAGCGCAACGGAGCACCCAAACTACCGTCTAACAGTGCAACACATGAGGACTCGGCATCTCGCTTTAAAAAACAGAAACTCAACAAGGAAACTAAAGAAGAAGCTGCAGAATCAAGCGGAACATCCAAAGACAAACCCGGTAGCTCCACAGAATCTTCAAAGGATTCTAGCGAGAAAGAGAATTCAAAGGAAGGCGAGCACAAGGAGGACTCCAATCCAGAATTGAACGAAGCAGAGGCCGACAAAGAAGCACACCTTTCCAGTGAAGAAGCCGAGCATAACGCCTCGATCTTGAAAGGTCTTAAAGCTTTCATTGGCAACAGATCAGAAGACAATGTGCTTTTGGTTTATCCCTTTGCTGGCGATGCCAATGAAATTGAGAACTGTGCCAGTGGGCTGCAAGAAGCAAGTGGAGAGCTGTTCTCTGATATTGTCCCTGCTGGTGCAGCCACACCAGTTGATGATAACAAGGTGTCATCTTCGCCTGAAGCCACGGATCTCCGTGGTCACAAATGCAATGTCCAAGTTCGTGATGTTGCAAAGCTCAAACCTGGGGTGTTCCTCAACGACACCTTGGTTGACTTTTGGATCCAGTGGTAAGCAAGCAGTATTTGCCCACCAGAGTTTGGCTGTTTTCCTTTCGTATTTTCTCACCATCCCCATCCCCATTTGCATTGGAAATTGGAAATAGGATTACTAGAAAGGCACATCAAGACCAACCCGGCAACATGGTGCATTGCCTCTCAGCGCATTTCTTCACTAAATTGGCTGACGAGGGTCCGGATGCTGTGACAAAATGGACAGCACGAAGAAACATTGACATCTTTACAAAGAAATTCATCTTTATTCCAATCAATGAGACATTGCACTGGTCTCTCTGCGTGGTCGTCAATCCTGGCTCTATTCTTGAAGAGGCCAATGATCAGCCCCTGGCTTGTATGATTTTCCTAGACTCCGCCAAAGCCCACAGTAAGCTTGAGGTGTCCAAAGCAGTGCGCAAGTGGCTAAATTCCGAGTGGAAGAGACTAAAGCCCGACAGTGATGTCAAGGATCCATTCCAAAAGGAAGGGCGCTTCCCAATGTTCGACCCTAAGAGTGAGTATTTACTTTCCTTTGCATGTACTCAAATGTCATATTTACTAACATCTTTGCATTCTTTGTCTTGAATCACGATAGTTCCTTATCAGAACAACAGCTGGGATTGCGGTGTCTTCATTTGCCAATACGCATACTCAATGTACGCCCTCAGGGGCCAACCCTTCAATCACGGCAATCAATGGTTTGCAACGAATTTGATTGAGAACACAGACTGCTTCCACTTTGGAATGAATGACATTGCCAGGCTACGGTTGGATATCTTGAATCTCATCCAAAATCTTTCCCACATCTATCTTCAGTGGAAGTCACAGCAAAAAGAAGAATTGGATGGCAACCAAGAGGACAACGTGTGCTACATTTTCGAAGAAGGTTCTGAGCCCTTGCCCTTGGAGGATCATGCCAATGTGGAGCCCTTGGTGGACAAGGAAGATGGTGACAACTTGGAACAAGATGCAGATCCCTTGGTTGGCGACAAGTCCAAAGAGGACGGCACAGTTGTCTGGTCGACTCACACGGATTCTGCAAATTCGGCTGCCGCCACCACAGAATCAGCAAATGCTGAAGACAAGCCCGGCAGCTCCACAGAATCTTCAAAGGATTCTAGCAAGGAAGACAACAGCAACAGCAACAGCAACAAAGGTCGAGATAAGACTGCCCACCATGCACCTTCCGCCGCAGAATTTTCAGACACCAAAGCATCTGCCACAGAATCAAACAACATCACTCCTCGCGAAGAAGTCAAAGAAGGTGCCAATGTCAACGATGAACCCAACCAGACGGAAAAATGTATGTTGCATGACTTTTGGATTCCTTCTGCTCTCCTGGACCACCATCACTCACTTGACTTAAAAATTTTGCCTTCATCTTCGCCTACAGCCACAGGATCTTGGCCTACAGCCACAGGATCTTCGCCTACAGCCACAGCATCTTCGCCTACAGCCACAGCATCTTCGCCTACAGCCACGGCATGGACAGCATATCAAGAGGTGTTCCAAGATCTACTTGTCAAGCAAATCAAGAACATGCACGCGAATGAAGCAGAGCTACCGGACATAGCTCTTCGAGTGAAACTCGAAATGGCAAGAGCGAAGAGCATGCTTCAGTCCCTCAGTAAAAGGTTCCACTACAAAGCAGAAGGATGGGAACATAAGTATCTCCGTGGAAAACAAGCTAAACAATCCCGTTGTGTGCTTGCAGTCAGCAGCCTCAAGTACACCAAGTACACCAAGCAGGGTTGGGTGTCGTACTTCTACCATTCCCTAAGAATTTGTAACGGTCAAGCTGATGCCCGATTTGGCCAAAGAGTCATTTCAGATGGCGACATGCAACACCTCCTCTCCGACTGGGGTTATGCCGTGCTTCAAACAGCTACGTTTCAAGAGCCTGGATGGAAGAAACTCAATAATCCCAGACTCTTTCGCGAGTTTGAGGATTGCCAGGTTTTCCTTCATATTCAGCCATTTCCTGGACTGCCTGCTGTGGCTGGTGGTGCCACAGGCTTCCAATTGAAAAGTACGACAGGTCAGCCATTCATCAAGTTCCACACTGACTCATTGTTCCAAGCTAGGAACAATGAAACCAAGAAAGGATGGCAACTACCAGTGCAGGTGATGGCCGAAGCCAGAAAACGGCATGCCGATCAAAACATTTCATGGTTAGAAATTACAGCTGGAAAAGCTGCAAAGCATTCCAGCAAATGCTTCGAGTACATCAAGCCTGAAGTACTCCTTGATTTTGTGGCAGCGGACGACGAGTATACATGCGTGAGCACTTCTTTTTGCTCGGCCCTTGCACTTTGTCCTGGCATGAAGGAAAAGGCTCAAGCAGTGCATGATGCCTCGACACATTTCGACCTCGCCAACAATTATTACGACAACCTCATACAAACATTTCTGAAGCTCACACAGTGGAAGTGGAAGGCTGAAAAACTGACGAAGGAATACTGTCCCTTGAATGGTAGCAATCAGTACGACGACGGAGTGGTTCTCATGATCCTAGAATCTGATGAATGTAATCATGCAGCCGCAACCTACAAGGACATGCTTATTGAGGGATCTCTCCAAAACGCTTTAAGGCTTTCGGAGGCCAATCTGAACCATATTTGTGGAGGCGAACAAGGGAGCTACAAAGGAATCAGACAAGGATGGCATTTCCGTCCCATATCGGCCACCTCCAAGGTTGATACGGCTTTGTCATCGGAGCAACATCGATCCAACAGTCTACATGATCATGTTCCAACCATATTGTCAAATTGCTTAACTCGAGCCGGCATTCCTCATGATGATACCCGTCTGAAGCAAATACACCAACCCAGCGGCAACGAAAAGTCCGCGGCACTTACAAAAAGTCTCATCAAATTCGGATTAACTCCATACAACAACAAAAACGGCTCAAACGGCCCAACAAGCTTTGCGCAACTACTTTTCGGGGAATCGATGAGAACTTTCCTGGTCATTGTGAGGGTGAATGGTGCCTTGAGTGCATTTATAGTGTCAGTCGGAGAAAGCGGTGGTACTCTCTTCCGGGATGTCGATACAGTGCAACCTTACACCAAGGCTAACCATGTTGTCAAAGGGAATGCCAATAAAACAAAAGCAGCTGCAAAACAACTGGCAAAGTCATTGTATCACCAATCTCACACCAGCAATGTTGTTTTTGATCCTGTGGTCGCCTTGGAGATAACCAAAACAAACGCCTCAGCAGCAGACCAGCCTACTACGAGTCTCCAAGAGAATATCAGAATCACCCGCACTGATTATCCTCAGCAGGCCAATTCAGCATCGAGAGCTGCCAGAGGAGCCGGAGCTCATTCTCAACAACGGCCTCAAAAAAGGCATAAGACGAGTCAAATCAGTCTATCGCTGCCACAAGTACAGTCTCTTCCCTTCGTCAGCCAGAGTTCCTCTCAACCACACCCTTCTTCCGGGAAGCAGTCATCCAATGCCAGCAAACAAGCTTTTTCTACACTGACCTTGGATAAGCTTGCAGCAGAGAAGAAGCCTCTCTCAACAGACTACGGAAAACATGACAAAAAGAAACACCAATCTTTTGTTGCAACTCCTGGGCTCCAAGAATTGGTGGGTGGATATCCTTCATCCGACGAAGAAGATGAGTGAGTCTGAAGCTGAAACTTCAGAGTTGGAGGCACCCAACCCAAGACCCCACATCCAGAATCTAGTATGATAGAAGCAGTCATCAGCAACAACACAGACTGCAGTGAGCGACAAGTGTTCTTTGGTTGGTCATGCCAGGAGCACCTCTACCTAGCGACAAAGAAGTAAATAGTTTTCCTGGTTAGCAAGCAAACTTAGAGCAGTGATCGTGCCACACTTTCGATTCCTGGTCTCTTTGTGATCTCTTCTGTGTGTGGCACTGCCAGTACCTGGCAGCTATTAAATAGTCAGCAAGCCACAATGAGCTGGGAGCAGTGGGCTTCCTCGAACGGCCATTTCTTGATTTCTGGCTCCTTGGCGGGCTGCTGCTTCTTCTGGTGAAGTGATGTTGTCCATGATCATTTGATTCTGCTCTGACCGCGACCCTTGTTAGGTTGTCTCGGTTACGGTTCCTTCGTCCATTGGTTCCAACCAATGGTTGTTTTGTCCAGTGTTTGCCATGGTCTCGATCAGAAGCGAGGAGTTACGTTCCCAGCAGCACAAGCTTGTGCTGAAGACGAGCATCCACACTACAGCCCTTTCAAAGGCCCAAAGTTCCTCAACCAGGCATCAAGGCGACCACCATACCTATCGTATTGGTGAACCACAAACGACCGTTCTCCATTGAGGTTTGTGAAGTAACCTTCCAGATCTGTCTGGTCGAACTCTTGCCCTAGCCACGCTCCTCTCTTTTCCTCCTCGTCGGTGGAGAACGGTTTCTTCGCGGAGGCGACATAATGACCTTGGTTTCCCACTGTGTTGACGAGACCCATTCGGTTCTGCTGTGCTTCTGCCATTGGCAACCCGCCTGTGTAATAGAGCCAGTTGTGGATGGATTGATCATCTCCTGCAATGCCAGTACAACAACAGTCTTTATCTTTCATCCACATCCTCCCTTCAGCAGCCATGGCCCGCAAATACTGCAACATGGTCTCCCTGGTTCCGATGGTGGTGCCACTGCAAAGCATGGGGTAGTTCCAAATCTTGATCTTCTTGCAGACTTCTACAGGGTGTTGGACCAACCAGTTTGTTGTTCGCATTCTAGTATGTTCCTCAAACACCTGCAATCCTTTTACGGGAGGTGCCTCTGGCCCAAATGGATCACGTTGGAAGAACGTGTCTCTAATATCTGACACCAGAACTGGCCCTTGACATTGTTGGCATTCCTCCAGCCAATCCCCCATCAAAGCGAATCTGCCCCAGCGAATCTTGAGGTCAGGATGGGGATGCACGCACATTTTATTCTCGAGACTGATCAAATCCTTGTCCTTTTCACGAAAGAAGTGGATGGAACAGTTGACCATTTTGAGTGTCTTGATCATGACGTTGTTCTCTTTCAGATATTCCACCACGCCCTCGTCGGGTGTTTCGGATATACCCATGATAATGTTGCCCTGATATCCAGTTCTTCGCAGCGAGGTAATAAACCCCTCCATTTTGTTCTTTGGGTAAAGATATGCCATTCCCATGACGGTAGCATGCGTGCTGTTCTGGGGTGGTGGTGGTGGTTTCTGTTGGTCTACTTGGAGATCCTTAGCTTTGGAATCCGTCAGATCCCCCTTGTGCAGAAAGACGCAAATGTCGTATCGTATGCCGTGTAGCACCAATCCAAACATTGCCACCAGGGAGACTGCCAAAATGGAGTACTTCTTGGATAGAACAGACGAAGCCACGGAAGTTTCTGTGGCGGTGTTGGGGATTCGCGATTAGGGATTCAACCCCTGTACCTCTGTACTAGAATTTCACAGTAGAAATACAGAGCCCACCCACTTTTTCAGTAGTATCTCAATAGCAACAGTAAACTAGAAGAGAGCTTAGAGCAACTAACATACTACTGAAAAAGCGGTCTACTATCGAATCGAAGAAGCGAAGCAGTGAAGAGGAGCCTATCGAAGCAGTCAATCGGTAGCAGGAAGAAGCCACGTTCGATCGACGCGAAGAGCGAGTATCGGCCGACGCCGAACGCGACGCGAGAAGAAGACCGATCGCGACGACGCTAGGATCCGAGGACGGATTGCGAGACGATAGAGACCAAGCCTGTCGAAGGATCGACAGCAACGCGAGTACCGCAACAAGACCAAGACTGTTGTTCGACGTTCGAACGACAGCAACAAGAGAAGCCCTTCAGGACTGAAGGCATCCGAGTACGGATCGACCGCGACGACGCAACGAGTTCGTCGGCGGCAACACGAGAGGAGACTGCAGTCGACGACGACGCAGCAGCAAGAGTTCCATCGGCAGAATCCACAAGGATTGTCGATAGAAGAGCCGACAGCATCCAGCCGGAACTGTCAGAGCCAACAACAAGCGCGAAAGCCATAGTGCCAGCGCAGGGGCCAAAGGAACGGCACCCAACAAGGAATCAACAATACAAAGAAACGGGTTCGGAGTGGAAACGACCGCACAGTGTGTGAAGCAATCGTTCCCTCCCTGCAAGATCTGTAGTAAATAGATTTAACACTCCCTAGCCAGGAGTATAATTTGAAGTTTATCGCCCCATAGCCATAAGACGAATAAGTAGTCGGACGAGAACTTAAATTAAAGAGCTAGTCAATCAAAAAACAACGAATTGAAAAGTCCACCTACCGTAGCATAGACAATGAGCGGTAGAGGTAAAGGACGAGGTGGCCGAGGAGGCGGCAAAGCACGAGGGCATGGAAGAACCAGCCATCGTCGAAC